CTCCCTGTACCTGCCACAGATTACTTTTTACAAATAATTTAAAAAAATAAATAAATAAGATCAGTGCAAAAACAAATGGGTGCTTTAGAATTAAGACCCCCTAAAGAGTTTTCCTAGCTCCATTTTGCAAAATCTGAGTTGCCCTGTCTCAGACTGGGAGGAATCAGTGTTCAGACCTGCAGAGGTATTTCAGAGATATTTGAATCTGTCACCCTGGGCAGGCAGGGCTGGGAGGTTGGACCTGGCTGTGCCCACAAGAGCCATCAGTGTGTGAGCAGTGGTTCTGCCTCCACATCAGCAAGATGCCTCTCACATTCACAAAGTCACCACTAACACAAGACCTGGCAGCTCCTCAAAGATGAGCAGAAGTTTGGAAATCAAAGATATTTTTCATTCCTGAGCATTTCCATCCTACTCACTGTGGGTCTTTGGATTCTGCAAGAATAAGGGAACCAGAAGTGGTGGAAAAGCAGTAGAAAAAACACACCCTCATCAATTAGACACCATTTTTACCATTTGCTAGAGAATGGTTACAATCCTTAAAATACAAGTTCTCTTCATTATAGAAATACTTTTTTTATTTCTTTAAAAGCCAACGGAATGTGGACAATGAACAATCTCACATTTAGAAGCCAACTTTTCATCAGGGTTTATCCTTTTGATTTGGAAACTGGCTCATTAAAGCTGGAAAAATTCTGTGCAATGTTGCAATAAAAGAGGCTCTATTTTTGCATTTAGCAGAAATATGCACCCACAGAAACCCAGGCAATACAAAAGCGAGCAAACAAAGGAGTGCCCAGCCCATAAACTGCAAACTGCAAATTTCTTATTTCAAACACAAAGGCCACATAGATCTTTGCCATCTCTAATAATAATAATGCATTCTGCCACCCAACAGCACAACATTCCCACCAGGCAGGGTGTTTTTCCCTGCAAAACATAACTTAGTGAATGTGGCTTCAGTTGCCTAAATGTCATCTCAGTCTGTTGCAATCTGCTGTAAAGTCTCAAGATACAAGTCATATGTCACAAACTCACAACAGTTTCTGGATTTGCTTTAGGACTACAATGTTCCTGGGCAAAAACAATTCAATAAGGAAGAAATTCTGTCTTCTGTTTTTTAATGATTCCCTGAAAGATGCTTCTCACTGATTTCTTTTTCCCCTCTTTTTTTTTTGCCTACTTCTTTACATGTCATTTTACTTTATAAATCAGATCCATCCCAGTTCCATCAATCAGACATGGGAGTATCCCCACAGAAACATAGGATACCCTGAGTTGGAAGGGATCCACAAGGATCCTCAAAGCCCAGCCTCTGAAACTTGCTTTTCTATATTGCAGAGTAATGCAGTAATTGTACATAGTGCTTAAGGGGGGTGAAAAATGAGAATCTAAATCCAGGATAAGCTTCTGGCCAAAGCAGCTCAGATTTTCCATCTCATCTGCAACTGAGACATGAAAAGCAGAAGTTAGGACTGGGCAGCAGCCTCCAGAAGCAGAAGCCCTGTTTCTGGCAATCTTCTCCCCAAAGTTTCTATGTGTGACTCTATTTATGTGCTTTTAGACCAAATATAGTAAAACCAGGTATGAGAAGGATACATTTATACTGAATCAAAGTTTAAGGGAAGAGTAGGTTTTTTATATTTATACATATGCTTGCTGGCAGATATTTATAGAGCATGACTCTATGAACTCTGATCCACAGTCAAGGAGTGGGATGAGTTACATGAATTCAATGCCACAAGCTCAACATAATTTCCTTTCAACACCATGGCCAAATTGTCTTGATTTCCACACCTGTAAAATGGGGATAACACTTACCCTTTTTACAGGGGATAATGTTATAAACATTAGTTTAATTACTTGGAGAGGCACTGACTTTATACTGTAAAATAACTTAACCTGCACTAGCTGTACCACACAGGAGGAGTTGAAATCAAACCCAGGAAAGTGAGGGAGAAAGGAAGCATAATTTCCTGTTATGTGATGTACTCTGACTAAGAATATAAACCCAAGAGACCTTGGGAGGAAAGGTTTTTGCAGCCTGCTTCTCCCCCTTTCACCGTTATGCCCATGCAATGCCATGGTCCTCAGCAAACACATTCCTCCTTCACCCAGAGAGCAGGGAGAACACAGTCCTTCCACCAAAAATCAATTTTCCTTAGATTCCAGAGCAGCTGTGGTGCCATGTGCCAGCCACTCTTCCCCATCCCATGCTGTGCCCAGTTGTCCCCTCTGGTCGCAGAATAAATTAGAGGAGCCACTGTGGTACAGCTGAGAAAGCAATGGAAAATCCAGCCAGCCAGGAAGCTTTTTCTTCTTGATTTCTGTGAAGTTCTCCACACTTGGCAAGCTTTGTAAGCTCAGTAGTGGGAACTGAAAAGGAAAAACCATCACGTACCATTTTTCTCTGGCTTGCAAAAGTGAAATAAATCAAGAGATGAAACATCAAGACATCTGTGAGACAAGATTTGTTTTGTGAATGTTTAAAGCATTTTAACTCTGTTCTTCTGGCTCCCAGTCCTGGTTGCTGGGACATTATTATTTTACCTGTTTTCTAAGGTATAATCACTTATATCTCAAGAAATTTCTGGCTGTGTTCTGCATTCTCCTTTGCATGACTTGGATGAATCTCCATAACTCCAATTTTCTGTCTTCTGGTTTATCATCTGAAAATCCTCCACGTGACACCAGTGAAGTCCTCACTTCAGGGGCCAGCTGTGCTACCTTGTTATTTCCACCCCTTTGCTGCCCCTCAGAGCTGGGCCAGGTGTCTCTGAGCCACAGCCACTGCTCAGACAGGGATAGGCAGGAGCTGAGCTTCCCATCCCCACCAAGCTCCTGTCCCTCCACCCACTGGGCCATAGGACATGCCCTTTTCCACCTCTCTGCAAGGAATGATGACAAGGAGCATGGCTTAGCTCAGTGTGGGAGTGCTGGGGAGCCCTACAAGCCCAGTGTGAAGCTGGGACTCCACCTCCAGCCCCTGGCCCTGGTGGGTTGCACAGAGGAGCTAGGCCCAGGGTGAAAGAGGCCTCAGCAAACAGCCCAGCAAGGATTTGCAAGTTGATGGAAGACCTGAAAATAGGCCTTGGAGCATCTCTTTATTCATTGCCACATGGCCTTGTCTCTGTCTCCAAACCCTGGTTATCCCAGGGGTTGTGCGGGGACCTCTGGCTCAGCAGGTCTCTGTCATGTCTGTTGTTAGAGTTTGGCTACAGATGTTTAATTCTCATTAAACAGTCAAGTTTCTTTTAATCTTCTTCCAAAATAAGGAGCTCAAGTGTTGCAACAGCATCTCCTAGGAACTTTCTGCTCTCCTTTGGGGTCATATTTCTTGCTAGTGAAAGGGAAATTTCCCAATAACTTTCTTCTGCTGCCAGGCACCAAGGCAAGGCAGCATCGTGCCACTCTCTCAGTCATTTCCTAAGAGGCCTGCCCATCACTTTATTCAGGGCTGTACCCTCTGCTTTTAGTTTCTTATTCTCATTCCAGCCTGTCTGCTTGAATGCATTCAAAGGTGTGAGAAAAAAACCCCTTTTGGGACAGTCTGTCCCACGCTGCACCCACGGCTGTAAAACCTCGGTGGCCCCACTACTGGTTCTTATCAGCCATCACACCTTCAAGCACAGAAGGTGTGTCTAATATTAGCCAGGAAACGTCCTGGAGAAGACCTGGACTTTTTCAGCTAATCAGTATTAATAACTTCCTATGTTTGTAGACAGCCCACAGGAAATGCAGCCTGACTCATCTACCCCGTGATCAGATGAACTCCCCGAAAAAGTGCAGGTGGCTGCACCACAAAGGCACATTAGCCAAGGTGCAGAATGTGCTCCTGACCAAAGGGCAGATAACGGCAGCTATAATTTCCTCCACTGATATAATGTTAAAAAAGCAGTATTTCTGACAGATCTGGCATATGGCTGAGGTTGGAAAGTCAAGCAGTCATTTTCTTTCTCTCTCTTATCTCACTCAGGGGAAATCTGTAATATGCACAAAGCCTTGATTTATTTTTTACACTCTGGCATATTACTGGAAAATAATTACAAAGCAAAATTTCATGAAAACCAGAAGATATTCAGGCCTGTTTGCTGTATAAGTTATACCTAGACTGCGATTCTTACTGAAGATATTTGTTTCCTGTGTTCTTTTCTGCTGCCAAGTTCAGCCATATATCACTTTTATGTATCTGAAGGCCACGGTGTAATGCAATATGAAGCTATGAATGGGATAAAGTTTCATATTCTCCATTGATTTTCCATTGTATCCATTATCTTTAATGCTGGAATGCAGGTTAGTGCGAGTGCCGGAAGCCTCCGCACCTCTGTGCTGGCTGCTGCCCTATGAAAACCATCCCTGGGGGGCAGATAAAATCGGCTGCAAGCTGCAGAGAGGAGACAGGAGTTCCCCAAAGTGTCCAGCTTAATGGGGGAAGCCAGAGGAGAGAGGGAGGAGATAAACTTGGGGATGGGGACATGAGAGGGGCTGGGAGGAAACCAGAGAAGGGCTGGAAGGAAAAGCAGGGGAAGGAGAGGAAGGGAGCAGGACCTACTTCAAGGCTTTCTATCAGTGGAAAAATGCTTTTTGAATGCTTAACAAAGGAGGAAGAGAAAGAGATTTGTGGATTGTGATGGTGCTGCAAAGCCCCACAGGCACCACCAGCATCACTGCCCAGGAGAGCAGAAAACAGCAGCCACCAGGGCTCAAGTGCCACTGCTCCACAATGCCAGATCTTGTGGAGACAAAGCTGAGGGTTCAGCTGCTCACCCCGTGGGTCAGCATGGGCAGGGAGCGTGTGCCCAGGCAGCACTGGAGCTTGCCACCATGGCAGGTCAAGCAAGGCTGATGAGCAGGACAGGAGGATGCAGCTGGATGGGGAAAACGGGATGCTTCAGAGGCTTGTCACCCAGCTGGGCCCAATTGGGACTAGATGTTAACACTAACTCTCTAACAGGCTTCTCAAATCACATTTTTAAGGCCATGTGTTAACAGAAAACAACTGTTCAAATTTAGCAAGTTCCAGCAGCACTTTCACCCTTGTTCCGTCTGGGCTGCAGGAGTACGAAACGCCACCGCCACTTCATTTTTCATCCTTCACAAAGGGGTAGAGCTGTTAGTCATGCGAGTGGTTGCCTTGGACGATCCCACACAAGCAATGCCAGCAGGATTTCTCCATGTGTGACTAACTGCTCCTCCTGGGAGGCCAGAGATTCCCACCAGGAAGGTAAAGGACCCTCCTTTTTCTGTAATCTTAACTCTGCAGTCACCACTGCTGCTGCTGTAAAGTGTTTTTAAGATGAAAATCCTTCTGCAGGACAGGTGACCTGCTCGTCTCCATCTGCCCTTTACTGTTCTGGCTACTCTTGTTGAAATCTGTGACTAATTCATGACCGATGAAACCAAGCTGTGACCAATACAAAAAATCTTTGTTAAAACCCTGCCAGGTTAATCAACAGGCATTTCTCAGGAGTGCTGCTCAGAAAGAGCCAGCTCTGAATTCTGAGTAATCCCATGGGACAACATTTCTGGAAGGAGCATCTCATCCAGCTTGCCTTGAAGCACACCCACCATGGACAACACACCTTGTGTCACCTACAACTGGGGGGACAGAGCTTAGGGACGTTTGTGCAACTTTTCCTTCAATTATTTGTCCTGGTAGAGAAGAGGCTCAAGCTGACATGGAGCAAAACCTTTCAAGCTGGTTCAAGAAAAATCTGGTACCTTGTTTAGTACGAGCTGAGCTTGTGTGTGTACGTGCATGTGCTGCACAGCAGGACCCCTTTTCTCATTTAAACAGCCAATTAAAGCCTACTTTGGCACTTAGCACATGACATCAACTTGCAGTACTTAACCTGCCTAGCACAGTGTGAATTTAATTTGATAAAGGGGCAACTAATAAAGATCTTGGAAGGCTGGTTAAAGTTCATTAAGCCTTTCCTTTCAAGGTATACTTCCCTCCAGTGCAAAACCTCGCATCTTTTTTCCTTTTCCTTTAAAGCTATGTTATATCCTGCCACCAGAAAAAGGTGCCTGTGTCACATCCCGACAGGGTATATTTAAAGTCTCACTGTCAAAGTCATGGCAGGCCTTGGTTCTTTGCCCAGGAATGTGCAGAAAGAAAAATAAAAGCCCTTTTCCCTGAGTGTGGGGCGAGGAGTGCGGTGTGTGTTGGTGCAGGCAGGCTCTTGGGAGGGCAACAGGCTTCTGTCACACTGAGCTGCATTCATCCTCCTTCTCCTGGGCCATCCGTGATTCCAGATGGATTTCATAAACAGATGAGGAGGCTCCTCTGAGTTCACTGCTTTAATGAAGCCCGTATGGCTGACTCATGTAATAAGTATTTAATCATGTTGATGAAAATCGTTTTTAAAACTTCCACCACACACAGCGCCGTTCCCCGCGCAGCCGTGGGGCTGATAACAGCACAGCCAAGGCACCTCCATCTTCCACAGCCTCTCCAGGTGCCTGCCTTGGCTTTCACCAAGGACTTTCAAATGTGTGTGTGCACTGTGCATTGCCACTCTCTGACAAGGGCCCGTTCATCTTTGAAAATACTCCTCAAATCACCCACTGAAGTGTCACAAAAGGAGGGCCTTTTTAAGCCCCACGTTCCCCATGCAGCTGTTTCAGAGGTCACTCAAGGGTTAACACTTTGGTGTTTATATCTTCTTATTAGTTTCTGTTTGTGCTCACAAGTGCCCATGCATTAAAAATTTGCTGAGCTTAAGTGGCCTCCATTTGTAAACAGAGAAATGCCACAAAGCCTTGCAAATACTGAGTCATCTTGGGTGGAAATTGTTCTTCTTGTCAGCAGAAGTCATGACTGATGCCAAAAAGGACATGGGCCTTCATCATTCCCAGACATGGACCCATTGTGAGTAAGACCATCATGTGGCAACCAGTAGTCCAGACAAATTCAGTATATTTTAAGTTAGCTCAGAAAAGTCAGGGCTCCTTCTCCTCCATTCAAGGTTGGATTCATACTCCTGATTGTCCTTTTACAACTTTCATCAACATTCAGCAGCAACGTTCTTCTGAGCGCTCTGGGAAAAGGAAGATGAGTTCCATACTGTCTTGCACAGTATCCCAGCCACAGACAGAGAGAGGAAACCTTTGTTTGATCACATGAAATTTTGTGGATCAGTCCAAATTTGTTGAATTAATTTTAAGTGTTGTGGGCAAGGCCACATGAGGAGCTCTGATTTGCCAGATAATGTTTTCCAAACTGTAGAAATGTTGAAATCTGAAGGTGTGCTTGCAGACTTCTACCAGTTCCAAGGCAGCTCACATCCTGACAGGGAAAACTATTTTCTACCATTAGACCAGACAAAATCTCTACTTTGTGTCATTACCAGTTATTTTCCTTTTGTAAGCAAATTATTCTCAAAATTCCTGAAATGTAGCAGTGTTGATGGGTTCAGAAGCTGGGTTTATTATAATTTCCATCCCTTCATTTTACGGTAGCTTTTTTTATTTTTCATTTCTAAACATGTAGATGTATTGAAAAGGTACCAGTCTAGGCTGAACAGAAAGTTGACTGTGATCTCATCCAGCTGTAAAGAGTGTGCCCAGGAATTACCCCATTCTTTCTGAAATGCCCTTCATGCATAGTAGTTGCTGCTGTAGATAGCTGTGCTTCAGTGGTTGGTATTTAAACCTTCAAAATTGGGAAGTTTTTGTGACTGGAAGGTCTTGAAAAGACTGGGAAATGTTCTGGTTGTGTTTGACTCACATTGCTCTGGCACCAAGATTTACACAGCTCCAAGTAATGGGAGCATTACGGTATTTAGAGGCTTGATAACGAAATCCAGAGTTCACTTTACACAAACCCTTCATCCTTCCATTCATGATCTTATGAATTTTGGTGCAGCAGCACCAGACCCTGAAAGTGCAGGAATTCTGTATCTCACTTCAGAGCACCTAATGCAGATGTTGTGACCCTTCAGAAGAGCACCTTAAACAGAAAAGCACTGGAACAGTGGAGAAGTCTCAATTTCCTTGTTTATGACTTCAAACTCCAGAGCTAAAGGACACCAAAGAGACAGTTTAATGCCCATAAATCTTGCAGTATGAACTGATTCATGACTCAGACAAAGCGCCCAAGCCCCTAAGAGTCAGGAGAACAACCCTTTAAAATACAGTTTGCTACTATTGCTGGAAACTTTAACCCGCTGGCTTCACACTCAGGAGGAGAGGATTTATGTGCTCCTCTGAACAAAATACATCAGCGTAGGAAAACTTGACCCGACAGTTTTGAGACGTGCCTGCCATAAATAACCAATTGATTGGCTGGGCTGCAAAGCCATTAGCAGGCGTGAGGAGCCTGCTGAGGCTCAGACACGGCGTAAAATGCTGGAGGTGCCAGAAAATGGACACGGCCATCAGCTACGCGGTCACCGCCCAGAAGAACTGCTCAGGAGGGCTCCTGAAAAAGGGAACAGCTTTTGTCTCCCCCATTCCACAGCACCCTGGAAGGGGGATCCAGTCTGTGCATGGGATCCAGGATGTGGTGGGCCAAGGGGGAAGAGAAGAGAGATAAAATGACCACCTTGTGCTTGAGCAGTAAATCATCTGGAGGAGCAGTATTTCAAATGAAGCTGGAGATCATGCCTTGACAGGTTGCAGATGAGCCTTTTCTGCTGTAAACTACCACAGCTGCCAAGTGGCACTGGAAGGCCTGAGCTAGCAGGGCTTTCCACCCCCAGAAAAGTGGCAGCAATTACAGCAGAAGGGAATTTGATGACTCAGATCACAGATGTCAGGAGAGAGGGCCAGAGGTCACTTTAACCTCTGAGAAGGGGTCATTTTTGCCTTTTCCCTTGCAAAGAATGCATGTGATGCTCCCATCTGCACTCCCACTGCCACAGACACACTTTCTGGACTTGGGTTGATCTTTTTGCCCTGTCCCACCCTGATGGCAAGGGAAAAGGTGAGAGCAGTGGATGTCCCATGGAGCAATGCCTGCCAAACCTTTCAATCTGGAGAAGAGCAGGCAGTAGGAAGCAGAGCAGACATGATGCTGGTCTACTCCAGACACTCATTTACACTTGAGATGCTGAAAATGAGTAGGAATCTAGGTGTAAATGTAGGAATCTGGGTGCAAATGACCACATAAACAGCAGGGTAATGATGAAGCAGAGCCAGCTCCTCAGCAAGGCTGCAGTTCTGGGCATTATCCCCAGATAAGCAAAGATGGGTCCTTGTTCCTGTATCAAATGTGAGATGAGAAGTGATGACTGGCAGGTGAAAGGCCGGAAGGAGGAATGTGGATATGTGAAATTCACACAGAATCACTAGGTTGGAAGAGACCTTCAAGATCACTGAGTCCAAGATTTTAATCGAGTCCATTTCCATTCAGCCTGATCCTGCTCAGAGTCTCAAGTGCTTTCCCTGCTCAAGGAGATGAGTGGGGCAGCTCTCAAGGACCAGCTCCTGAGGTAGGTATCTCCAGTGTCCTGGCACTGCCATCACTCAAATCCATTGGCTCTTCCAGAACCAGAGGATTCCTCCACTATGTAGGACTCAGTTTCCATGGACAGTTTTTCTTTCTTTTAGATTCAACAGTTGGGTATTTTTTTCTCTTCAGGGAGCAAATCCCCACAAGAGAGGATCCAAATTGTTTGATTGTTTCCAAATAATTGTATTTACACAATATGCAAATATTCACTGGCCAAGTATTGATGTGCTATACAGGTGGCTTCCTGGTGGCTCCTAAAACACCAGAAATGGTGAAAACCAGGAGCAGATTCAGCTGCTTACAGAAATCTGGCCCATTCCTATGAACTAGAAACCTGTGCAAGTGTGACTGAGCCTTGAGTCTCAGTGACTAAACTCAGATTTTATTTTGACACCCTGCTAACCCAGTAACTTCTCCCCCCATTTTAATACCACAGGAGGTTATTGATCCCCGTCCCTGGAAGTGTTCAAGGTCAGGCTGGATTGGGGTTTCAGCAACCTGTCTAGTGCAAGGTGTCCCTGAACTTTGTGTCTATAAAACACAGAGGAAAGTGCTGCCAAATATTTTGAATTTATTATTCTTTTGTTGTTGCTGTTGGTTCTTTTTTGAACTGAAATCAGCTTTAGTCAAAGGATTGGTGGCAAGAAACTGCTGAGATCTTGCTTCTGTTTTGCAAGTAGTAGCTCCTTAGAATTCATGAACTTGTATAAATTAGGGAGATAACAAGTATAATCTTTAAAAAGAACAAGACCTCATCAGCACCTCGTCTCTGACAGGAGACAGTAATAAATGCTTTGGAAACAAGTAACAGAAAGGGAAGAGCAGTGGTCCCACCCACCCAGCCCAGAGTAGTTCAGGGTCTTTTGAAGACAGCTGCTGTATCCAAATGGCTTCTGCAGTGAACAGGTATGGTTTGTAATCCTGTGTAATCCTTTCCTTGGAAAGCTGTAGCCACCACACCACCACTAGTGAGGTGTTCTGCAGTGCCCTGAAGCCTCTTAGACAAGAAAGCAGTGGGACTGATCTCTTCTCTCTGGTCACCAGTGTCAGGACCCAAGGGAATGGCTGGAAGGGAAGGTTTAGGTTGGATATCAGGAAAAGGTTTTTCACCCAGTGGGTGGCTGGGCACTGGAACAGGTTCCCCAGGGCAGTGGTCACAGCACCAGCCTGACAGAGCTGCATTTGGACAACACTCTCAGGCACATGGTGTTATTCTTAGGATGTCCTGTGCAGGCCAGGAGCTGGACTCCATGGTCCTTGTGAGCCCCTTCCACCCCAGGATGTACCGATAATTCTATGACAGTTCCTTTTGCTGCCTTTAACTTTGCTCTCAGGCAAGTGCTTTAGGCACCCTCTGCTCCTGGTTTTATGGGATAAAGTGGATAACAGCTCCATATTCATTTCCTAACTACTGAGGGCTCAATCCACATCCCCTCCTTGCTCGCTTCTCTCCAAGTGTCCTACTCTCT